ATAACCTGGAGAGGGTTCAGAGAAGGGCCACTCGTATGGTTAAGGGCTTGCAGATCAAGCCCTACGAGGAGAGACTAGAGAACCTGGAGCTTTTCAGCCTCCGCAAGAGAAGGTTGAGAGGTGACCTTGTGGCTGCCTATAAGTTCATCACGGGGGCACAGAAGGGAATTGGTGAGGTTTTATTCACCAAGGCGCCCCTGGGGGTTACAAGAAATAATGGCCACAAGCTAGCAGAGAGCAGATTTAGACTGGACATTAGGAAGAACTTCTTCACAGTTAGAGTGGCCAAAGTCTGGAATGGGCTCCCAAGGGAGGTGGTGCTCTCCCCTACCCTGGGGGTCTTCAAGGGGAGGTTAGATAAGCATCTAGCTGGGGTCATCTAGACCCAGTACTCTTTCCTGCCTATGCAGGGGGTCGGACTCGATGATCTATTGAGGTCCCTTCCGACCCTAACATCTGTGAATCTATGAATCTATGAATCTAAGACTCTCTGTATTTAGCCTAAGTGAATTAGATACCTGGCTCACTTCTGAAAATCCCAGTAGGCATCTCTCTACATTCTCAAGTGCCTAAGTAGATTTGAATCTTTGGCCCTTGTTGAATATTTCCAGTAGCCAATTCCAGTTTCTGAAGTTCAGCCTGTTTCCCAGCAAATAAAGCACCACTTGTGCTCTGGACTACAATCTGATCTCAGAATCTGACAAGCAACTTGTATCATGCCTTGTGACAGAGTCTTTCAGATAGTCCTATTTATCCTATGGTGAAACAGCACAAATTAAAGCAGCCTGCAGCTTGAACTGATTCACATGTTCTGCCATCTTGTGCTGTGGATCCCTATGCAGGTCCTGTGGAGCTGGCAAAGCCCTGTGAAACATGGATTCTGAAGGAATTCTGAAGGATTCTGCTTTGAGGGCTCATCTTCTAAATGCTGGGTATTCCCATATAATAAAACATATACACTTAAGCATGTGCTTAAAGATAAATTCAAATTAGAGCTGATGTTAAAATATCTTGTCAGCATTCTTTTCTATATCTATGCAGTTATGCAATTTCTTTTTAATGTATGCATTTACTTCAAAAACAATCTAAAAATATTGGGTTGATATGCTGCATTTCATATTTCTTTCTGGTAAGAAAAGCTTCTAAGTGTTCAAGAAGGAAAAAGACTGAGATTGGGGATCAAGATATCAAGGATTCGTTTTAGTTTTGTCAAAGAATGCAACTTTGGGCAAGATACCTTATCCCTCTGTGCCTCATTTGCTTTATGTAGCAAGTGAAACAAACATGGACCAAATTATAGAGCACACGTCGTGATTCTCACAAGCAAGCTGTTAGATAAAAGTGCAAAGTATTTGCATCAGTCCTTTCTAAGTTATTTATAGGGTCAGTTAGCTGAAGTGAGCATAAAGAATCTTGATGTTAGACTAAGCCTACTTCTCCTTAGGGGAGGGCAACTGTTCTTTTTAAGAAATGAAAAAAATTACAGGTTTCAAGATGTTGAACTAGAAACATTGAAATTTAAGTATTTGTGATGACTTTTTGTGAATGGCTTTGGAATTCTTGATTCCTGGCTGTGGGGAGAACAACCTGGTTGCTGTATTATACCCCAGAGGCAATCTTTGTGACTTCAGATTACTTATACCAAAAACAGATGTATACAAATATACAGTAGCCAATGATAGAAAGATCAGCTATAAAAATATGCTTTTCCTAATGTTTATAACTACAGGTTGGCTAACAGCAAAAGCATGACATTATAGATCCTTCCCAATCTTTTCTGTCTAGTTTTACTGACAATATTTTTACCATATATTTATTTGGATGAACTTCGACTCCTGCTAAGATCTTAGCCTCAGTTTTACCGTGGTGGTCTACACCCTGGGAGCGTTTCTACGTGATGTTATGTCGCTGTAGCAATGCACTACAATGACATAGCATCAAAAGGCATAAACCGTGACGCTGCAGCTATGTTGCCATGGCAATGCATTCCCTCACTATTGCATATTACTATGGCAACATAGCAGCTAAAAATAACCGTGCACCACCAGCACGGTGCAGTACAGGCTGTTAGTGCACCATCATTTAGTACTTCAAAAAGGAAGTACTAAATGACGGCACAGTAAAAACAGCACCATAGGGGCACGTGTAGATGTGCCCCCTGTGTAGCTTCTTATACCTCAAAATGATCCTAATATTAATGGTTAAAAAGTTGCAAAGAGATAAACAGGGACTAGGGATCTCAAAAGTTAACACAGAAATGAACAGAGGTGTTCTTAAGCATAGAACTATGTTTTATAATGCAAGAAGTTAATATACACAAAGTCAATAAGAGGGACTTACCACAACTATGTATCGAGGTCTAAATTGTATGGTCCCAAACAAACCCAATATCACGACTATTATTTGTAGAAAATTTCCAAGAATAGGAGCCCACTGGAAACCAAGAAAGTCAAAGATCTGCCTTTCTAATGCTGCCAGCTGTAAGGAAGCACATAACAGAACATTAACATTTTAATTATGGCTGAATCAGAATATTTGTCATTTTTATATCATTGCATCAGCCTTACCCAGGTTGACTTTCATTAAAATTCTGTGGAGTTTGGAATTTGAATTCTGGGAGCTGTAACCCCTGATGGCATCTTTCAGCTTTATCAGTATCTGAACACTGTTGCTTGAATTATATAGAAATAATCTCAGTGATAAAGCATTTATAAATATTTAACTTGCACTACTTCCTCACTAATTACAGTATTGCCTCACAATTAAGTACATAACCAAAGGAAGCCACATTTCATTTTATCCTGGTCAGTTGGGTGTGTTGGTATCAGTACCATAACAGCTAGCATTTTAAAGCAGTGTGGGCCATCCTTTGTGACAGACCTACCACAAATTAGACCCATCCCTAAGTGCCATTCCAATCCCTTTCCCCTACCCAATCTGCTGCTCAGCTTTCTGCTCCCTGCCATGTGCTCCCTTCCCAAGCTGCCGTTCTGCTTCCTGCCCTGTGCTCTCTGCCTGATCTGATGCTCTGCTTTCTGCTCTCTCCTCTATCTGTCTCTGTGCTGCATGCCCCCTCCGCACCTGCCATGTGCTATACACACAGGCTGCCCATGCTTCAGGTTGGCCACCACTGCTTTAAAAATTGCTGGCTATGATAAATACAAAGCTGGAAGTAGGCTGCTATAACACTGAGAGTTCCTCAGGGCTGTCTATGTTATGATACATGTTACTTTGGCTGTCATGAGCAGCCCAGAATTAGAAGAGGAAAGTCTGACCTTTGTACAAATGAGAGTATAGCACAATCTAGATTAGGATTTCCAAATACTACCATAATTCTAACATTTAAACCCCAAGGCAATGCCTAAATTATTTGTAAAAGAGGCTGGAATTAGAAATTCCCTCCCCAAAACAGCTTTTAAACACCTCTTCAACAATTATAATAGTTTGATTTTTTGACAAAACCATTTTCCACTCATTTTGACAATCTATCAATGGTTATAAAAATATTTAAATCAGTTTTTCATGCAGTACACTTGTGGGGCGCGTCCAGACGAGCCCACAAATTCCTTTGAGATGCTACAAGAGGCATGTGCAGGAATGAGAACATGTTGCCTGCGCTGCAAATTTGCAGCGTGGGGGCAAAATTAGACCCCTGGATATCCAGGAGTAAAAAAAACCTGCAGAGAAAAAAAGCAGGGCAGGGCACAGTGCCAGACAGTGCCCTGAGGCAACTGGAGGCTGGGTCCTCCACAAGGACACTCTGGTAGCAGCCATAGCATCTCTACGGCTGGCCCTCTCTGGTGCTGAAGCACGCTGCCTGCCCATGCAGGGCAGGCAGTGTGCCAGCTGCAGGAAGCTGGACCCGAGCTTCAGTGCCAGTAAGGGGTAGGGGGTCTGGAGGAGTGAGGAGGAGACCATGGGGAGGGACCCCTGCTAGCCT